AAGGATCTTGTTGTTTGACCATAACTTTTGCTGAACCCTTTGAATGTTTTATTTGATGTAAAGGACGATTCTCGGTTTGGAGAACAGTCTCCTGGGCTAATAATTTTTTCATGAAAAATATAGAAATAATACCCAAATTAAACTATGAATATTCAAAAGAGGACATTTAAATCTACAAGATGTAAAAATAACAAATTGGTCTGAAGCAGGGATAACGCTCAATTTGACCGATTCAATAAAATACAAGTCTTGATTTGGGGAAAGAAGTTCATCAGTGTACTGCGCTAATATTTTTTTGCGAAAAATCTAGAAATATTACCCAAATTAAATTATGACTATTCAAAAGAAGACATTCAAATCTATATTATGTAAAGAAATCAAATTTGTCCGAAGCAGGGATAATGCTCATTTAGATTGATGAACTTCGTTCTCCAAACCGAGAATCGTCCTTTGATTATATAACCTTCAGAATGTCTTTCAAGATTGTCCATCTTTAAATTGTGTGGTCCCTTGGTTATTTCACTTATTCTCAAAAGTGCAAAAAGAGCCAATGACATCATTGCTTTTAACAAAGTTCTTTCATAAGTTAAATTGTACATAATTATATCTATTGCATTGAAAAGTCTTTTCAAAATATCTGGAGTGATTGGAAGTCTAGAATCCACACTGGGTTGTAATTTTGAAATACCTATCAAAGCCTGATTAACTATGTATTTTTTGTTGGGTCTTCTAAATCTCTAATTTTATGGTAATAAGACAACCCTGAAATCAAAGACTTTATTGAGTTTGGTGCTAATTTTTTGTTTAAAAATAGGAATGATATAAACAGCCCAGTGTTGATTGCTGACAAAGGTAGATTTCCACACCCCGTTAATTGATTAAACTGATCCAAATAAACCAATGTCCTATCATATAAAGATTTTGTATTTTTAGTAATAGCTGCTGCCGTTATTATATTAAGGGTAGAGGCCAATTTATTGGTAGCAATTCTTTTGGAATTTGACATTCTTCCATCTGTACTTTTGTATATTTCTGGAAAATATCCATTTTTCCCCTTGATAAAGCATCTGCTAAAAATTTTTTGTCACCTGCTATATGTTCACTGTACATTTTAATATTATTTTCTAAACATGTTTAAATTGTTGGTCTTAATATAAACATTATTTCTTCACTTTTTGATGTC